TACTTCCCCTTGTAGGTAGTTGCGCTTGAATGCGATGTGGCCTATACAATGACTTGCGGGGGCCAGCCGATGTACAAGTCAGTGTTTTTATCCTCCCAGACAAGTCTGGTACCAATTAACCGACCCCGGAGGGATGGAAGGCTTGGTTGGCCCGGGCGACTCACGACCCAGGATTTGATCCCCGGACCGCTCGCGTGGTAAGCGTGCCACTTGCCACTACACCACTTCCGCCCCAAAATAATAGAGGAAAAAATTCCTCAATTCTGGGAAAACAAAAACTGACATCGAATAATGTTCTCGCTGCTATAAATTGTATCAGCTTTATCATGTGCATATTGAATCCCACTGATTCTCGAAAAACACCCATTCATTGTGATTTTCAGATCGTCTCATTGAACTGTGACGAGACATCTAAAGAGGTGGCGGGAAAAGTGAAAGCCGGAGTCCTCAGCTTCGTTTTGATTTATAGCTAACCGATCTATGTACAGTATTTCCCCAAATAAAGTTACATAGCCGATCAAATGGCAGTTAAATAGCAATACAACTACCACTGTCATCGCCTAGGTGTCAATTCCGAGCCACACGCAGCTCACGTAGTGTTCAGGGGCATTTCGACTAAAAGATTCAGATCCTATCCCTCGTATTTTCCCGGCTGCAGCCATGCGACCTTAGCTGTCTTGGCTCATTGAAGGCTCGACTCGCTGGCAAGCGCTACGTCATGTCATTAATCATCGACACTAATCAAGATCAGGAGCCTCCTGCCTAACTAAATAGTTAAAAAGAACCTGTTCGGTGTCCAGTGTTTCATGTAGGTTGACCAGTCATTGAGGGCATCTAACTGACTTAGGACTAAAATATTCGCTTTTTATTCTTTCCTGCTGATCATTTTATTCTGATAAAAAGAACATACTACACATACCTCCATTGTTTCTAGGCGGTGTGCACGGATAAACTGATCCCTAAACTCGCTTTCTTCGCCAAAGGATACGGTCCTGGGAATGATCCACGAAGAGCGTACGCGCTTGCATTTCTCATTACCGTCTTTGTTGTGATGATCGGTAAGAACCCTTAAGATTTGCTAATCATCCAATCGGTACGATCGCCTTCATTCAGGAAATTTGAACGTCATAGCTCCTTTCATTTCGAATTTCTTCCTGTGCGCTTATGCTCTGGTGAACTACGCCTGTTTCACTGCCTGCTTATCGCAAACTCCAGGTGAATTTAATCCCTTCCTGATTATAAGTCTAGTGTAGAATGCTTTGATCTCCCCATAGTTCCTTCAACTCCATTTCTTATTTTCTTATTTCTATCAACTTTACGCATTCTCCCAAACGATAGTACAGAGTTGGTTTTCGTTGGGAAAACGAAGTTTAAAAGATAGGTTTGTATATGCATACGGGGGGGGGGGGGGCAAAAAAAGAATCACCATCTCTTCACTTCAAAACGGAATTATTTACACTTTGCGAAAATCAAACCAAATGACTTCCAACTGAATATTGAAGAGCACATTCTAATCTATCAAAAAAACCTTCACAACAGCCTTCTACACCGAAGACATCAGAAGAATTTCTCACGGGACACGGTTGGAGCTCAATGAGGTCCTCGGCAAGTGCACCATTAACACGACATCTGAAAGGATGGGTTCCCGCATATGCAAAGCGCCAGTCATAAAGCAATAAACCAGCATTCCGAATGAAGAAACTGTGCAGCAGGTTCAGGCTGTAGCGATGTCGGAAGGCTTTCTTGAGGTGGACGACAATGCAGATGTCATATTCCGAAGACGGTGAGGGCAGTGAAGGAGGGCCTGCTCCTGCCTGTGGTGGAAGTAGGGTTTTCATATTTTGCCATAAAAGTTTTGGAATATATTGACATAAATGTTTCATCAACGGCTGCACCCTGTGCAACGAAACGTTCGTTCGTTGATGTGAGGCCTTGGAAAGAGTGACTTTATCCCCCAACCCTCTCCCGGTGTACAGTGCGTTGCAAAATCATAGGACACCCCCCAAAAATATGAATATCTCGGCTTCTAGAAAAAGCCGTCTATCGCAACTGGTAGAATCAGAACCGCCTCTATAAAAAACCTATACAAACAAGTAGCCAGATCATCCGAATAGTTTTCCGTATTTTTAGACAATTTTTTTAGTTTTGTAGTCGTTGCAAAATCATAGGACACCCCTCGGAAGTCTCCTTACAGTTGAATTTTTTTATCCATCCAGCAACGATGGTAGCACTTGTCCGGTGTATGGTAATTCTATTAGAGTTACGGTTTGAGTTGCTCCCTTTCCCTCCGCGAGTGAAAGCCAGACTTTCTTTTTATACGCGCCTGATGGCTCTACCATGAGCATCGAAGCCATTTTTAGGAGCTCAAAGAAAACCATAGCTTGGTGCTCCAAATTCTCACTACGAATAGAAATAAGAGTGCACCAGGATAAATAGCAGAAGTTCTCTAAAAGGATTAGCTATAACCTCGAAGATTACATCAAACAAAATCACCATGTACGGTCAACCTGTGTCAGCTCTACGAAAGAAAGAGGATAGAAATGAAATCCTATAGCAAAATCACTGATATGGACAACTAGCGTAGGGTCCTGCGAAGCGTGCTGCCATGCTCGTTAGGCGTTCTGACTGAAACCAGAGAAGAGAAATCTAACGAAAGACTGGGCCGAAGCTGGGCTTTGTTGAGCAATTTTTCATTCAAAATAATAAGTAATTTGTTCCTTTCAGACCGCGCTTCTTCGGTAATGAGCAGTTTAACTTTGATGGTTCAGATGACTGCTGTTCACTTGTAAAGAAATATGGGCCAGGATTCGACTTATTCCTTCAACAAAATTTTCGTAAAGGTTTCCTAAAGATGTGGTGATGCGTAACCTCATCCTGAGTTCCAGACCTGAAGTTTCTCTTCTCTGGTTTCAGTCAGAACGCCTAACGAGCATGGCAGCACGCTTCGCAGGACCCTACGCTAGTTGTCCATATCAGTGATTTTGCTATAGGATTTCATTTCTATCCTCTTTCTTTCGTAGAGCTGACACAGGTTGACCGTACATGGTGATTTTGTTTGATGTAATCTTCGAGGTTATAGCTAATCCTTTTAGAGAACTTCTGCTATTTATCCTGGTGCACTCTTATTTCTATTCGTAGTGAGAATTTGGAGCACCAAGCTATGGTTTTCTTTGAGCTCCTAAAAATGGCTTCGATGCTCATGGTAGAGCCATCAGGCGCGTATAAAAAGAAAGTCTGGCTTTCACTCGCGGAGGGAAAGGGAGCAACTCAAACCGTAACTCTAATAGAATTACCATACACCGGACAAGTGCTACCATCGTTGCTGGATGGATAAAAAAATTCAACTGTAAGGAGACTTCCGAGGGGTGTCCTATGATTTTGCAACGACTACAAAACTAAAAAAATTGTCTAAAAATACGGAAAACTATTCGGATGATCTGGCTACTTGTTTGTATAGGTTTTTTATAGAGGCGGTTCTGATTCTACCAGTTGCGATAGACGGCTTTTTCTAGAAGCCGAGATATTCATATTTTTGGGGGGTGTCCTATGATTTTGCAACGCACTGTATATTTCTGTGTAGGGACAAAAAATAGCACAGTTCGATTATACAGATCCCACTACCTACCGTCAAGGGTGTGATATTCGTTCACAACCACCGTTCCAACGAAATTGCATCTGGTTTCTAGGTTGAGCCACGAGGAATGTCTTCAAAGTATCAAAATTATGCGTCATTGCCCAATTTACGGAAGCATGTCTAAACAAAGCGAGCATATTTAAGCACATTTATATTCAGGAACCGTAAGCCGCTCTCATATAATTAGTGGAGTTTGCTTAAAATTTTACACTGAAAAAGGAGCAGGCGCTTTAAATAAAAACCTCTCCGCATAATTCCAGAAATCCGTGAGAACAACAACAGTTCAGTAGGCCAACTTCGCCCAGCACACCTGTTGATTACAGATTCTGACCCCTTTAGAAGCTTCTTGCAGGCAAGCCTGATGCCAGTACCCGTAGCTTTGCAGTAGATATGTAAGGTTTGCAGAGCAGCATTATACACTCCCTCTAAGCCCAAAGAACCCCTGATAGCGGATAGCAGAGAAGAACTACAGGCCAAGGTGCAGAAATGGCAGAAGGTCCTGGCAGAAGGCGGGCTCCGGCTGAATGTCAAGAAGACCAAGTTCCTGAGCTCTGAAGAGGGTGCAGAGCCGATCGTGGACGGCCATGGTGAACCATCGAAAGAGTGGAGGACTTCCGATACCTTGGGAGCGATCTGGCAGCCGACGGAAGTGTGGATCAGGCAGTGAAGGCACGAATCAACGCGGCATGGATGAATGGAGGGAATCCACGATCGAAGGTGCTCCAGAACGCTCAAAGGGAAGGTGTACCGGACAGTGGTAAGGCCTGCGATGCTATACGGCAGCGAGTGCTGGCCCCTGAACAAGAATCACGAAAGGCAGCTTCACTCCGCTGAAATGAGGATGCTGAGATGGGCCTGCTGGACGCGCTGGACAGGGTCAGAAACGAGGATGTCAGAGCGGTCATGCAGACTGCCCCTGTCCAGCTGAAGGTGAGGAACAACGACTGCGATGGTATGGGCACGTGCTAAGGA